CTTATATTGTACAGCGCCGCGCACACTGTTGGCGCTATATAAATCCCGTATAATAACAATGATAATTCACCCCCACTGACCACCAATGTAAGGAGCATTCTTTCCACTGATCCCCAATGTCCCTCCCCCCCCACCCCAACCGATTGGCGGTTTCCCCTTACATTTTGCGGAGGTCCTCCGGGATTGGCAGGTTGTATTTGAAGAAGGTCCGGCCCACTTCGTTGTGATTGATGGCTCGCAGGCGGTCGGCGGTAACGATCTCGTTGTAGGGAGCGTTGGAGACGGTGTATTCGATCACATAAAACTGGAAGAGTGTAAAGAGGACGGTTAAAAACGCATGGCGGCAGCCGCCGAACGCCGCCATCGGAGCGCACACGCGCATACTCACATCGCCCTTTATCATCCGGACCTGAGCCAACCACCAGCCCGACGGCTCCTGCTCGTTGGCGCGGGACAACACCTGGAGGGACGGGTTACAGGTCAGGTCATACTGATCCCTACAAATCTGTCATGTCAGCCCCCCATAGCCCCCCTCATTACCTCCACCTGCTCCTCCTCTGAGATCTCCAGATTCTCGGCAGTAGGGGGCGGGAGTCTCACCTCACAGAGGGGCACTTGTCTTTCGGGGAAGCAGCAGGTGGGAGGGTTTAAAGAAAAAAAAAAAAAAAGACAATTGTTTTATGATACGCAGAGCAATGCCAAACCCTCCCCCTCCCCCATTGGGTGCGCATGGGCCCGACTTTTGCCCAAGTCAAGATTAGGCCCAACCCACTTCTGGTTCTAAGGCCCCACCCCGTCACTCAACCATCAAATGTCAGAGCCATTACTGCTCACTAAAAGTTCTGATGTCCTAGTACCAGGAGGAGGCGGAGCTTCATCTCGACTTGGGAGGAAGTCAAGGCCCTATGTACCATCTGGGCCCCAGCATCCACGAGGATCAATCTGAAGACAAGGTCCAGCAATGCCGACACCTCTTTTAGACCGAATCAGATGGGTTGACACTCGAAGCTTCTTCTCCCCCCCCCCCCCCCTTTGGGGGTCTCGGCCACATTTCCTGCCTCTGTTCCTGGTTACTTTGGGGTGTTCCACTGCAAAGCTCTCTCCACCAGACTTCCCAGTTCCCTG